TATCATTGAATGTTATGATATTCAAAGTACTCACCCAAATATTTTTTAAAGATTTGTAAGGTTTACAGCCTCCACTACCTTCCCAGGCAGTGCATTCCAGACTCCCACAACCTGCTAAGTAAAAAGGTTTTTTCCCAAATCTCCTCTGAATATCCTGCCCCTACTCTAAAACTATGCCCTCTCATGATTGACCCCTCAACCAAGGGGAGCAGCTGCACCCTATTCACCCTGTCCATGCCCCTCTTAATCATATATACCTCAATCATGTCCCCTCCTCATTCTTCTCTGTTCTAAAGAAAACAATCCAAGCCTATCTAGGCTGTCCTTATAGCTCAATTTCTCCATCCTGATGAACCTGCTGTCTACTCCGTCTGGTGCTATCACATTTCCTGTAGTAAGGTAACCAGAACTGCACACAATACTCCAGTTGTGGCCTCACCAACGTTATGTACAACTCCAACATCATGTCTTTGCTGTTAAACTCCATGCCATGACTGATGAAAGCAGGTGTCCCATATGCCGCCTTAACTATCCTATTCATGTGCTCTGCCGACTTCAGGGATCTGTGAATAATTAACCCAAGAGCCCTCTGTCTCTCTAAGATAACCAGTGTCCTGCCATTCATAAAATACTACCTAACTTTATTTCTTCTTCCAAAGTGCATCACTTCGCACTTATCAGGATTAGATACCATCTGCCAATGCTGTGTCCATCTGACCAACCCATCTATGTTTTCCTGTAACCTTCATCACTATTATCCACTCAACCGATCTTGCAGTCATCTCCAAATTTCCTCAATGTTCTCCCCACATTTTCATCTATATCATTTATGTATTTAACAAACAATAAGGATCCCAGTACTGATCCTTGTGGTACACCGCTGGACACCAGCCTTCAGTCATTCAAAGAGCCTTCTACCACTGCCCTTTGTGTCCTATTACTAAGCCAGTTTCTGATCCATCTTGCAAAGTTTCCCTCCATTCCGTGTGCTTTAGTGTTAATCAGTCTCCCATTTGGGACCTTGTCAAAAGCTTTACTGAAATCCATATAAACTACATCAACTGAACTTCCCTCATTTGATCACACTTGATCACATTTTCAGAGATGTCTAACAAATTTGTTAGGCATGACCTCCCTCTGGCAAACTATCCCTAATTAACCCATGCCTTTCCAAGTGAGTATTAATTTGTTCCTTCAGAATTTTCTGCAATAGTTTCCCTACCACTGACATGACACTCACGGGTCTGTAATTTCCTGGTTCGTCTCTACCAACCCTTTTTTAAAAAGCAGAACCACATTAGCAGTCCCCTGGCCAGACTGGAATTAAAAATTTGTTTCGGTGAAGCTCAATGCAAGCTGAAGGAACACACCTCATTTTCCACTGAAGCACTTTAAAGCTTTCAAGCCTCAACAATGAGTTCAACAACTTCAGAGCCTTAACTCTGTCCTCCATTTTTGATTACAGTACCCTCACCTGCTGTGTCTTGTTGGCTTTAGCAGAGCAGACCCATTTTCTCCTTTTCAAAAGTATTATTACACCTGTTTTGCACTCAGTCACTCCTTTACCACCTTTAGCACTCCATTTGTATTTTGCTATGAGCAACTTCATCACCCGTTCCACTCAATGGTAAAACAAAAATAGATTCCCATTCCCTTTCAGATGCAAAAAAAATGTCATTTTCGACTCAGAATGTTAACTTTTTTTTGTCTCCACAGATGCTGCCAGATCTGCTGAGTTTCTCCCATATTTTTTGTTATTTCAGATTTCCAGCATCTGCTGCATTTTGCTTTTCATAGGGGACAGAACACATAGTGATGGGAGTAGTCTATAATCCCCTAACAGTAAGTGTTCTGTAGGACAGAGAATAAATCAGAAAGGCAGCATGTTAATCATGGATGACTTTAATCTTCATGTAAATTTAAAATCTCAAATTGGCAGAGATAGCCAAGGGGAGGAATTCTGAGTGTTTTTAGACCAGTATTCTGGAACACTGTTTAATGGATTCAGCCAGGGATCAGGCTATTTTTGAACAGATAGAAATTGCTGGAGAAACAGGGCAGTTCTGCTTGCATTTGTGGAGAGAAAACAGAGTTAATGTGTTGGGTCCAGTGAACATTCTTGAAAACCAGTTTAAATCTGCTAACATGATGAGGTAGTCTTAATACTGATCTCCATTGTTAAAAGATCCCTTAGGAAACAATGACCATATATTGGTAGGACTTAGCACTCAGAAAGTAAGAAACTTGAGATATAAACAGCTGTGCTAATCTTAAATAAGGGTAATTACAGAGGAATGAGGGCGACGTTGGCGAAAGTGAATCAGAAAAGGAGCTTAATGGAAAAGATAGTTGAGGAATAATAGCAGACGTTTAATAACTTCCTGAAAGGAAGATCATGCCTGACAAAGTTATTTGAGTTCTTATGAGGTAATGAGCAGGCTAAAGGGGGAAAAGGGAAACCACTAGAAAGGGCAGGGGAGCTAGGGATGGACAATAAAAGCTGGCAAGTCCGCGATGTCCATGTCCATGAATGAATAAAGAAAAAATACATTTTGATTTTCAAAAGGGATTTGACAAGGTACCAGACGTAAGACTACTTAATAAGATATGATCCCATGTTGAGGGTAATATTATAGCGTCGATAGAGAATTAACTGATCGATGACATATAAGGGCGGCATTTTCAGAATGACAAACTGTAACTAGTAGAATGCCACAGGGTCAATGCTGGGGCCGCAATTATTTACAATATATGTTAATGACTTGGTTGAGGGAAGTGATGGTGCTATCGCCAAACGTGCGCATGACACATAAATAAGTGAGGATGCAAGTAGCAAGGATGATACAAAGAGTCTGCAGAAGGATATAAACAAGTGAAATGAATGGGTAAAAACTTGGCAGTTGGTATGTAATGTGGGAAAATTTGAGGTTATGCAAATCGGCAGGATGGATGGAGGAGCTGAAAATTATTTAAATGGGAAAAGCCTGCAGAAAGCTATAGCAGAGAGGGATTTGAGGGTCCTTAGGCATAAAATTAGCATCGGGGTTCAATGGGTCATGAGAAGGCAAATGGAATGTTAGCCTGTATTTCAGAGGCAGGTTTTGATAAAACTATACAGGCCACTGGTCCAACCACAGCTGGAATACTATGAAGTGTTATTCCCCTTATTTAAGGACAGATATTACTGGCATTGGAAGCAGTCTAGAGAAGGTCCATTACTTTGATTCTGGGTATGGAGGGATTTTATTGTGAGCTCATTACCTCTTCTGGTTCTTATTAGTTTGTTTTTTTTCTGGATTTGGCTTTTGTTTAATAAACTTCTGTTCTGTTGTTAAAGAAACTCCACAGCCTTGTGTAACTATGGTTCAGTGACTATGCCCTTAAATAAAATTTTAAAAATACTCAATCAATGAAGCCAAGTCTCACTGTAGGATCTGATCAGATCTGATCTGCCTTGGAGTGCCATTAACTGGGGGGTAATCCAAGCAACTACTGATAAATATTGCCCAGGACACCAGGAAATTGTACATTAATCGTTTTTTTTTCATTATGACTGAGAGGACAGATGTGATCTTAGTTTAATGTACCATCCAAAGCAAGGCATTTGTAATCATGAGACTCTTCTTAAGTACTATACTGAGGCCAATTTAGGTTGTGTGTGGAAGTCTCTGCCATGGGATTTGAACCTTCAACCTGAGGCCAGGTTGCTGCCCACCAAGTGCATGCCAGGTTTTTACTGGTGATCAGGTTGGACTGCTTGAATGAGTTAATAAGTTAGGCAATTAATCTCTGTTTTTGGCTGTTGTGTGACTGAAGTGTGTGATGTTGGGCATGGTGTTAATGCAGAATATATTTAGACTTAACCACTTGTGAATCTGGTAATGGCAGATTCAGAAATACAAAAATGTAATTTACTTGTGGTTTCATTACTTAAAATCTCAGCTTGCAGTTGATTAATATTCCTAATATGTGATACACTGTAAGAAAAGAAATGTGCTGGTAGGGTCAGAGGGTGGACTTAATGCCCTTATCAGGGAAGTGGAATTTGTTTACTAAGAGATTCAGCAGGGTGGACTTCTAAATCAATACTAAACCTGTTTGTTGTAGCAAGTGAGCACGCAATTTCAGAATGTGCTTTTTCATACTTTATTCTGTTCTTATTGTTGTGGCAGATTCATTGACTATGTTGGGTGATCTCCCTCCTGATGATTCCCTCAGTAGTCCTGAAATCGTACAGCCAGGTTTGGTAAAAGATCCACCATCAGGAGTGTCTCTGTCAGTTAACATCGCTGCAACAAATTTACCCTGCGCATCCTTCAGCACTGCTGCTGCTTGTACATCCACAGTCACCTTAGCAGCTTCCCACATAGTATCAGGTATTGTATTGAGTTTCGAACTTTGCATCTCTGGTTTTAGTTCCATCCTACACCAAGCAGTACCCATCCTGCCTTGTAGCAGCATTTGATCACTGTTCATGCTTTCTCTCTATTAACTCAGTTCCCTGTTTGAATATGTTCACATCACTCCAAATTAGCCTGTATTTTATTCATTGCCATTGCTGCTGTAACAAACCATTCAGAGGTACGTGGGTGGTTAGTGCAGCTCTTGGCTTCTGTGTTACTTTCAGCATAGGAAATGCCTACATGCAATTCTTTTTCAAAAAAAGCTTCCATTCTGCACTTCTAGCTATAATTACAAAAGGGCTGTCCTCTCTGGCCTCACTATTTGACTTTCAGTTTAATTCCAACTGTGCTGTTCCACCTGAAAGAACCTATTTTTATTACAAAATATAATAAAAATAACAAGTATTGTGGAAAGAGAAACAAAGTTAACATTTCAGATCTGTGACCTTTTGTCAAAACTGGGGGAAAAAAAGAGAGATGTATTAAGTTTAAGCAAATAAAAGGAGGAAGAAAGAATGAGAGAGGAAACAATGGTATGTACGTAATAATATTAAATAATAAGGGAATGATATTGGAGAGGAACAAAAACATTAAAAACAAAAAAAAAGAACTGCAGATGTTGGAAAGCAGAAACAAAACAAAACCAAACACTCGGCATCTGTGGAGAGAAAGCAGTGTTAATGTTTAGCGTTCAGTGACCTTCTTCAGAACAAAAATGTGTTTAGCAGTGATAGTAGGAACTGCCGATGCTGGTGTCTGAGATAACAAGGTGTGGAGCTGGATGAACACAGCAGGCCAAGCAGCATCAGAGGAGCAGGGAAGCTGACGTTTCAGGTCTGGACCCTTCTTCAGAAATGGGGGGAGGGGTAGGAGGTTCTGAAATAAATAGAGAGAGGGGGAGCCGGTGATAGAAGGTGGATAGTGGAGCAGATAGGTAGAGAGAAGACGGACAGATCAGGGAGGCAGGGATGAAGCTAGTAGAAGTGAATGTAGGTAGGAAGTTGGGGTGGGAGGAGCGGATAGGTGGGAGAGAAGACAAACAGGTCAAGGGGGCGGGGACGCGAAGAGATCTGGTCTTGGGATGAGGTCGGGGTTGGGGAGATTTTGAAGCTCATAACGTCTACATTGAGACCATTGGGTTGTAGGGTTCCAAGGCGGAATATGAGGTGCTGTTCCTCTAGTTTTCGGGTGGCATCATTGTGACACTGGAGGAGGCCCAGGATGGACATGTCATCCAGGGAGTGGGAGAGGGAGTTGAAGTGGTTCGTGACTGGGAGGTGTTGTCGTTGGTTGTGAACCAAGTGTAGGTGCTCCACAAAGCAGTCTCCGAGCCTCCGCTTGGTTTCCCCGATGTAGAGGAGGCCACATCGGGAACAGTGGATACAATATACGACATTAGCGGATATGCAGGTGAACATCTGTTTAATTTGGAAGGTTTTCTTGGGGCCTGGGATGGAGGTGAGGGGGGAGGTATAGGGGCAGGTTTAGCACTTCCTGTGGTTGCAGGGAAAGGTGGTGGGGCTAGTGGGGAGTGTGGAGCGGACGAGGGAGTCACGGAGAGAGCGGTCCCTCTGGAAGGCAGAAAAGGGTGGGGGTGGGGAGGGGAAGATGTCTTTGGTAGTGGGGTCAGATTGCAGGTGGCGGACATGGCGGAGGCTGATGCGTTGGATCCGGAGGTTGATGGAGTGATACGTGAGGACGAAGGGAATGCTGCCTTTGTTATTGCGGGGAGGGGTTGTGAGGGCTGAGACGCAGGAATCGTGAGAGATGCAGTCGAGGGCGTTTTCGACCACTATGGAGGGGAAATTGCAGTCCTTGAAAAATGAGGACATCTGGGATGTCCGGGAGTAGAATGCCTCATCTCGGGAGCAGATGCGGTGGAAGCAAAGGAATTCGGAACAGGGATGGCATTCTTGCAGGAAGGTGGGTGAGAGGAGGTGTATTCTAGGTAGCTGTGGGAGTCGGTGGGCTTGAAATAGATATCAGTTTCCAGGTGGTTACCAGAGATGGAGACAGTCGACTTGAAATAGATATCAGTTTAGCAGTGGTGTGAATGGCAGGATTCTAAATAACTAAGTCAAGGAAATGAGATAGAAACACGAGAGGGTCAAAACTGAACCAAAATGGGAGCTGACGTTATGATCTATAATTATTATGCTCAGTGTTGAGTCCTAAAGGTTTTAGAATGTAGTCTGGTAGGAAGAGGAGGTGCTGTACCTCAGGCTTGCATGGAAATGCTGCAGCCTACCAAGGACTGGGAGCAAGATGAAGAATTAAACTTACAAGTCATGGGAAATTCTGGGATGGTAATTTGTTTGTTTTTACTGTTGATGTTGTGAACTGCTGGTTCTGATCTATGTCTTTTTTTGAGTTTTGCGCCATTGCGTTGACTGTTACTTGAGCTGCAGGTTCTACTTGAGCTACAGAAAGATATAAGCAGAGGAAACCTGGGACTTGAATGAGTTTCTACACTTCAAATAAATTTAGTTTCTGTGAAAGCTTCTTTCAATTTGTTCACAACGAGGTTTTAATCTCACCTGTCAGAACTTCATATATAAAGATGTATCTTGGTTAGACCCCACTTGGAGTACTGAGATTACATTAGTAGGCACCACACCTTACAAGGGATATATTGACCTTTGAGGGAGTATGCTTTAGGTTTATAACTTCATGGGTTAAATTATGCAGAGGGATTAAACAAACTAGGCCTGTTTTCTCTTGAATTTAGAAAGTTAAGAGGTAAACTGGTTGAAGATAAAGGTAAGCTATTTCCATTGGTTGGGGATTCTGGAACTAGAGTCAAAAAATTAGGTCCAGACCATTCGGGATAAATGTCAGGAAGTAGTTCTACACACAAAGGGTATAGTTGTTTGGAACTCTCTTCTACAAATGGTAGTGGATGCTAGATCAGTTGTTAATTTTAAATCTGAGATGGATACATTTTTTGTTAAGCAAAGGTATTAAGGGATATGAGACAAAACTTGGGCCACAGTTCTGCCATGGTCCCATTGAATGGTGGAACAGGGTCAAGTGGCTAAATGGCCTACTCCTGTCCCATTTTGTGCACACAAGGATAGGCTCTGACCAAACATGGGGCTGCCAGCGTATTCAACAGAATATACAAAACTGCAACCTGTTGCTTGGTCAAAGCTTTGAGGTTAGAAAATACTGTTGAGATGTAATGAGACAATGGTGGCAGTGTTGTTCCTGTATTAATACTGACACATTGACTTGATGTTTTAAAGCATTGAAGGTGGGGAAGAGCATGATGTGAGCGGCTTTGGAGGGTTCTTGAAGAGGGGCCATGCAAATTCCTAATTCTGATCCAATAATGTAGGGTTGTATTTGAGATTGTTTGCAGAAATTGACTATAAAAATACATGATGCTTTGCTCAGTCTACATTGACTTCTGTATGTAATCTTTCCACACGCAATTTCCAATCCAGAATTAGAACATAGAATAGTACAGCACAGTACAGGCCCTTCAGCCCACGATGTTGTGCCAACCTATTATCCTACTAAGATCAAACTACCCTGCATACTCTACATTATACTATCATCCATGTGCCTATAAGAGTTGCTTAAATGCCTCTAATGTATTTGACTCCACTACCACTGCTGGCAGTGCATTTCACACGCCCACCACTCTCTGTGTAAAGAACCTACCTCTGACATCTCCCCTCTCCCTTCCTCCAATCACCTTAAAGTTATGACCCATCGTAATAGTCATTTCCGCCCTGGGAAAAAGCCTCTGACTATCCACTCAATCTGTGCCTCATCATCTTGTACACCTCTATCAAGTCATCTCTCATCCTTCTTCACTCCAATGAAAAAAGCCCTAGTTCCCTCAACTTTTCCTCATGAGATCTGCCCTCTAGTTCAGGCAGCATCCTGGTAAATCTCATCTGCACCCTCTCTAAAGCTTCCACATCCTTCCTATAATGAGGTGACTAGAACTGAACACAATATTCCAAGTGTGGTCTAACCAGGGTTTTATAGAGCTGCAGCATAACCTCTTGGCTCTTAAACTCCATTCCCCAGCCAATGAAAGTCAACACACCATATGCCTTCTTGACAACCCTGTCAACTTGGGTAACAACTTTGAGGGATCTATGGATGTGGACCCCAAGATCCCTCTGTTCCTCCACACTGCCAAGAATTCTGCCATTAACCCTGTATTCTGCATTCAAATTCGACCTTCCAAAATGAATCACTTCACGCTTTTCTGGGTTGAATTCCATCTGCCACTTCTTTGCCCAGCTCTGAATCCTGTCAATGTCCCGTTGCAACCCTCAACAGTCCTCAACAGCTGTGGAATAACCTTACGTGACCTTTTCTGTTTGGCAGTGCTTGCTGTTTAGAAGAACTTGTTGATTTTTATTTCCTCCTTCTCATCTTGTTTAAACCTTTGTCATGCTGTTATATGGAAACTTGTTGGAAGGAGACCTTTGGAATTGTGTGGAACTTCTGGGACCAAAGTTTGATTGCATCCCAGAATGATGTATTTAAGGGAAGATGGACAAATTTTTGAGTTGGAGAGGTGTAGGAGGCATTGCTGATAAGGTTAGATGAAGATGGGTGGAAGGAAACTTGTGTGCAGCATTAATGTTGACAGACCCATTTGGATTGAATAACCGATTTTGGTGCAGTGCATTCTAACATCTCCAATGTCTTGTCCTTCTATAAAATAGGTTCGCAGATTGACCAATCTTGTTGCTAGCAGTGTCAATGGGTGCATTCCCCATGGCAGTGTCTCTACCAATAAGAACCTGATTGGTTGACAATCAGCACTCTCCTCTCATGCGATATAAATGTTGGCTTCATCTTGAATTTGTGTTCGTGTGAATTGTCCGGGTGAATACATGACAAAAAGCTCGATTAAAGTGTGTTTTGACTTTAGCGTGCTTACATATGCCTTTTTGAAAACTGTATTTGTTAGGGAGTTGTCCTCCTATCTTTCTCCACTGTCTCCACCTTCCCTGCTTGATCTTCCATTTGAAGAATACAACTGCCAGATGACAATCGTCCTCTCCTAAAACTTGGGTTAATATATTTTATTTCCAGGGTAGGTAGTTTACTCTGTGCCAATCAGTTGTTCAAATCCTCCTAACCAATGAATGTAGGGCAGATACCTGAGACAAGGTGATCACTTCTTCTTTCGGCTATTACTTTAGCTCAAGATTATCTTTTAGTTTACCTGACGCTGAGGGTTATTGTTTAGTCCTTACCAGACACTTGTAGAAGTAAGGGGGTGCAAGATATTGTGCTGTCAGTTAGAGTGTCAATATTGAAGCCTGAACCAGGATACCTTGATATTTTGAGGGATTGCTTTTTCTTTTTACAGAAAAAGAAAACAATTTCTTTGCCAAGCTATGGCCTTAAGCTGTGCTTAACAATTCTGTAAGAACTCTAAACTTAATCTGAAAAGTATTATTTATTAGATGTGTTATTTCTTGCACTTTGTTTTGGAATGTTACAAGAAAAAAATGCCAAGACCTTAGGGTATCTTGTCAAAATTCAAATAATGTCTCCACCCAGAAATGCCGTTATTTTACAGAATACATCTGCAGATGCCACTGCAGAGACTATTGAAGTTTTTAGATTTTGGTGAATCTGAAAGCTCATGGAACGTTGATCTTTGTCTCAGAGGCATTTAAAGCATCATTTCCTTCCACTGTATCTGAGCCCAACGGGTCTGAGCCCATACTTGCATAATCCAGTTCTGAGTACTGCACCTTAAGAATTGATCTTGCTGGAAATGCAGCAGATTCACCAAGTGATACTGGGTCTAAAAGGATTCATTCACAAAGCTGGCACCTGTAAACAGTGCTGCAACCCCTTGAGTTTAAAAGATTGAGAAAGGATATGATGGAGTTATTAAAATGGTAAAACAACACAATAGGATAGGTAGAGCAAAATTTTCAAAATTAGATCAAAATTAAATTTTCAGAATTACTTAGGAGTGAAATCAGGAGGCTGATGTAGAGCGGGTGAATAGCCTACTTCTGTGTAATTGTCTGAAGGGGCTACTGTATTTTGTCTCTGTAGCTCTGTGTTTGCCATTAGAGATCACAGGACTGAATTGCTGCCTAAATTTTAGGGACACCAGTAGTAGCCAACAGTCTGCTGAATGGTTCACATCCCTGGTAGTGGGTAGTGGGTAGTGTTATGGCCCATTCAGGAAGTGAAGTGGTTGACTTCTCTGAAGTAAAAATGTGAAATCTTGTGACCTTCTTTGCTTTTTTTTTAAACTTCCCCTTGACATTACAATTGGATCCTCCATTCCATATATACTGTATTAACTAACTTTTTTTATATAGGGGAGATGGCAATGACTTCCGTCAGTGCAATGTCACCATCGTGCCAACATCAGAGAGCCACAAAATATAGTGCTTGTTGCTCCCAGCGCTGTCGATGCAGCTCCGCCAGACTGGGCTCTCACCGGCCTTGCCCCGCCCACTCGTACTTCCAGCAGTATCACACTGAGCAAGTCCAGGGGCAGACATACCAAGCACAGCATTCTCAGCCCCACCATCTTCATTCCCACAACCAATTCCTCAGTCAGAGCCATCAATCATGGACCCACCAACCTCACCCACACTTCCCACCACCAGAATTCCAGCATGTTCAACCAACCAGGCCACAGTCTGTGCTCAGCGATACTAACTTAAGAGGAGGGGAGTCTTCAGCCAGCCAGGGGAATCAGGTAAGCATTTCTCTAGCCAAGGCTGGAAAGAATGGAGAGGTGGTTTGTGAGAGGCTAAGAAGTTGTAATGTAATTCCCGAGATGGGTCCTAGAAACGTTTCTCCCTCGTCCACAGTTTTGTGACAATTAAATCCTCCAACTGTAAGTCAGTCTTTAATAACATTTTCATTTGGAAGGATGTTGTTTAGAGCGTAGAGTTGTCTAGAAATTCGAACTCTACACCACCAACAATGGACACTCCAAAACTGTGCTTTGCTGACGCTATCGATCATGTCCTGTTCTCTTTGAGGAAGCCTTGTTAATAACATTCAGCTGTAGTTTGTGACATCCCTGAAATCATGATTTCGGTCGCAGTGCAAGGATTGACCTAAGCTGGCAATGCCCTCCTCCTTAAATCCTGCTTATGAGTAAGTTGATTTATTGGAGGACAGACATCCCTGTTTGAGGATTGTTTGAGTGCACACGTCAGCCTAGTCGAAAGTTGACGGTTGTGGGTGTCTTAATGTAACAATGCTGCCACATCCACCTTGCTAAAGGATGTTTGTTGTGCCATTCATGTGAATGTTGATATTGAGTATTCTTGAAAGCTGATACTGTTACCTTTTGGTGTCTCTACTCATTGTTTCCCTTACTGTAACTTTAGGCTTCTTCATGTGATCTCACTAACCTAGTTGAAGACGTTGATGGGGTTGAAGGTGCCCAGAAGAGCAGTGCCCAGGCACCATCTTGGCATGCCCATAATTCTGAGGAGATGGAAGTGAATGGAAACCATTCTGGTACAGCCCAGCCCAGGGCCTTGCAGACACCGACTGTTTTATCACCGACCATCTGGCACACTCCCCCAAATGAGGGTAATAGCAGCCAGTCTGGCTCAGAACAGCACAGCACAGTTCGTTCACCTACCTTTGTTGCTTCAGCGTTTTGGCAGCAGTCCACTGTCCAACTGAGTGAGATTTGGAGAAACCAGGCAGCAGTTGAAATTCAGGGTCACCAAGGAAATAATGCACCTCACCAGTCCCCCAGTCACCCACCTGTTTCACCAGGGTGTATGTATAACATGCCTCTTTCAGTTTCTCACAGGTACATTCAATTAGGACTTGTAAAGTTGTAGGGTTTAACTTCAGGACTTGTGGAATGTAAGAGCTCAAACAGGCTATTATGTCCATTCCATCTTCTTTGGACAGCCAATTAATTCCACTTGTTATTTACAATTTAAGTAAGTTATTATTTAAGCATTGCTTAAATATTCCACAGAGTTCTCCACTTACTCTCCATATCCTTTAATATCTACTCATTCTCCTCATATCTTATGCCTCTGGCCCTCGACTTCCAAACTTACACTTTTTCACCATATACTTGAACATTCTTCTCTTCTTTTTACTTCTCCCCAAAGAGTAACCTTATTTCTTGCTAAATGTATTTATGGACTCAGCATCAACAATCAGAAAACTTAAAATTCTAACTCTTCTCTAAAGACATTTTTCTAACCATGCATCTTAATGCCTTGTAGTTCTCTTGCAGGGCTCTACCCTTCCTTGAGCAATCTCTAATCAGTGGGAACACTCTGTCACTACTTGCTTTTTTGAATTTGTAACAATTTTATCAAGTCACTTCTTGACCTGCCATTGCCAGTGAAAAACTCTAATTTTCCCAGGCTCTTGCCATACTACAGACCCTTCTATCAGGTGCTGTTAGCCTGCACTGTATCCATTATTTTTATATTTTTCGTATCGGGGAGGGCCCAAAATTGTGTACAATCTTCAACTGCTTCCTGAGTGGGTTCCTGTACAAGTTGAAACCTCCTGGGTTTTTGTTTATATAAACCTGGGTGTTCGTGTACGGTCTTATCACCAAATGCTACATCCTTTAAATGCTCTGATATTTCAGCTAAATCTCACCATTTAGGATGTTTTTTAGTTCCCCTTCTTACACTCGTGATGCCTGATCTCTTCTTTTCCTGCATTGAACTGAATCTGTTATCTGTTTAACCATTCTACTGCCTTAAGATCTTCCTTAAACTCTTCACAACCATTGTTAAAAGTTACCATACCAGCAAGATTACTTGTTTATATCGATTATTATCAAGCATTTATGAGATGAAATTTGGTATTGTCACTAAATTGCTATTTTGTTCCCTCCATTACAAAGTCCATCTTGTGGCTGTAAATTTACAAAACACTGACCTCTTTGGACAAGGTCAGAAATCACACGACACCAGGTTATAGTCCAACAGATTTATTTAAAAACACAAGCTTTCGGAACCTTGCTCCTCCTTCAGGTGTTAGTGAGAGAGGTGGTATCAAACACAGAATTTACAAGTAAAAGATCGAAGGGTCACACCACTGATGTGGATGTATTAAATAAACATAAGATGCTGTTACATCTTTAATCAGTTAGAAGGTTTTAATTAATTGTATATGTAAATACCCCAATTCCTTTCAAGTCACTGTCCTGAGAGAACTGAAGGTTTTATCAGTGTAAACAAGAGGTGATATTTTAGGTCAGACAATGCATGTTAGGTGTGAGGCCATGTTTAGAATCTGTTTGTGTTTTGGTTTGGCTGCATTGAGTAACTGTCTATTAATTTTGTGCTTTTTGAACAAAATAGAATGTATCTGCAAATACACGTTCACCCCATAGATTTACGTGTGTGTGAGAGAGAGAGGGGTTGGGAAGAGAGAGAGAGAGAGTGTGTGTGCGTGTGACCTAAAATGTTGTCTCTTTATATTGATAAAACCTTTAGTTCTCTCAGGGCAGTGACTTGAAAGGAATGCGGGGATTTTCATATTCATATTAATCAATTAAAACCTTCTAACTGATTTAACAGCATCGTAGGTTTGTTTAATACATCCTCAACAGTGGTGTGACCCTTTGACCTTTTACTTGTAAATTCTGTATCTGATACCACCTCTCTCTAACGCCTGAAGAAGGAGCGAGGCTCTGAAAGCTTGTGTTTTCAAATGAACCTGTTGGACTATAACCTGATGTTGTGTGATTTCTGACCCTGTCCACCCCAGCCCAACACTGGCACCTCTACATCATGACCTCTTTGGAACAGAGCTCCTCCACTTTCCTAAGTCAACACTCCTGTTCCCCAGGTCTACTGACTGCTGCCCTATATCTGTGGCCACATTCTCAAACCCATGTTATTTTAGTTTTGCAGAAAGTCTTTTATGTGATATTATCCTTTTTTTAACATTCTTATAAACAACATCTACTACGTTTCTTTCTCTGTCGTCTTTTACTCTTCAGAGAATTGTATAAGTTTGGTCAGGTGTGGACACCTGTTTGTAAAGTGATAACAAAGTGTGGAGCTGGAGGAACACAGCAGGCCAGG